GGTAAAAAAAAAACAGTTGCTGATGACATTAAGTTTATAATACCCAGAAATTCATACACAGATTTCCTCAAGAACACATGGCACAGTGGATAAAGGTGTTAGTTAGATCCAGTGACAGTATCACACCCAAAGAGTGTGAGTTCAATACCTGGTTAAGGCAGTGGAGAACTTTCAGAGGGAAATTAACAGGAGATATCTGACATCCATTAAACATGGCATGTGGAACTAGAACATTCTACCCCAGTGAGCGAAATAAAGGGTTTATTTCGACATTCCAACCACCTGAAGAAGGCCAGAGCGTTGTAATAAATATGGCGACTAAGATGAGGACAATAGTCTGAATAATGTAAAAGGTACAACATAAACTTGAATGGTTTTCTGGCTAACTTAAAGCAGTGTCTCTTCTAACAAGATTCTGGGTCATGTATGTGAACCTAGATTCTCTATTCCTTAAAAATAAAAATAAAAATGGTACACTAAAGCCTGTGTGATAAATAAGCTTCCACTATGGTTTACATGAAAAAAGTAAAAAAGAGTTGTTAATTATGCTGACTCCTACCTAGGATTGAACTCACCATCCTTAGCTTCCTACTCCTCAGCTTAATGAATGTGTTTTAAGCAGTAGCAGTAATTTATTTCTCTTTCTGCTAAAGTAGATTTAACCATTAGGTAGTATTTAAATTTTTTTTTAAATTTCTCCTCTGGGTAGATTTTTTTTTTCTGTTTGAAGTGCTGTCACTCAGTTTGTTGAGCTAGATCCTTTTTTAACATTAAAGATTTTAAAATTATTTTTATACTAAATCATTTTTTTTCTCAACACAGGAAAATGCTTGTCAGTCACCTTAACTTTTTTTTAGGAAAGCTTTTAATGAAAAGAAAATGAATTATGTGGGTGAAGGTACTGAAAATTCTTTGCCCAACCCACTTCTGAAAATCTGAACAAAAGACTAGAAATTTTTTTTTTTTTTCAAATTCTTGGTGGCTCAGAACTTTAACATTGTGTATGTGCATACACACACACACATATGTATGTATGTATGTGTGTGTGTGTGTATATATATATATATATATATATATATAATGTGTGTGCGTACACACACACTACAGTTCAAAAATTGGAGGCCACCCCTGGTAATTTTTTAACTTAGCCCCAAAAGTACTTGTTTTGTGCATTAAATAAGAAAATTATTATACATGGTTAAAAATAGTGAGACATGATTTTTTTTATTAGAAATCTTATGAAAAAAAGCATTTAATGATTAAATTTTTCTCTCGTCAAAATATCCTCCTTTAGCCTTGATTACTGCAGCACAAATTTTTGGCATTCATAGCAAGTTTCTCAAAGTATAAGTCTGATAATTGATTTCATTCTTTTTTTTTTTTTTTCAATTTTTTTTTTACTCTTCTGTCAAGTTCATACTATGCTAATTTTGGGGATGGGTTCAGACTTTTGAACTGAGTGTGTGTGTGTGTGTGTGTGTGTGTATATATATATATATATATATATATATATATATATATAAAGTGAACATCAAATTCAACACTCGGAGGTGACAGGCTGTTTCATGCTAGACGCAAATGTCAGGCCGCAAGGGTTGGATATATGGGTCAGTGGTATATTCAATGTTCACTTTTATATGTACAGTGTAACCCGGATATAAGAGAAATTTTCTCTGGTCCCAAATTAGAGCCCATACTTACCTAAACAAAATAGACCAAACCCGGATATAAGTGAAACCCGGATATAAGAGACTTCTTCTCCTGTCTCAACAACTCTCTTATATCCGGGTTACACTGTATATTTACATATGCTCTATCTCTGATATTGAGCACTTTATCCTGTAAATATAGCACACCTTAAAACTATATTTCTTCATATTATATATATATATATATATATATATATATATATATATATATATAAAAGAAAGAACAGTAAGATATAAATCCGTGTTCTTATAGATATTTTTATTTTACAAAATTCGCTTTGAAGATGAAATGGAACTAATGCTTTTTAATTTAATTGCAAAATTAAATTCGGGGTTTTAGCTTCTATTTTTGAAACATGGTTGGAACTGTGTAAAAAAAAACCATATTTTAAATCAATTAATTTATATATATATATATATATATATATATATATATAAATTGAATGAAGTGGAAAAATTACATGTAACATGTTTCAATCTTTAAGGACTTCATCAGACTCAAAAGGGTTTTTCCTCCCACTTCATAATTCAGTACCTAACGTTGTTCTGATATATAGAAATTTATTACATTCACTTACGTGGTAATACCCTTTAAAATAGTATGAATCCACTTCTTCTCCCTCCCACCCCGATATAGGTAAATAGCAGGAAAGACTGGGTCCTATGGCCTTGGGTTGCAAACAGCCTAGAAGGACAGCTCTGAATTCAAAACCTGCAAACTTGGTGTACAAACTGAAGATGACTTGCACCATATTCTGTGATTTTCAGCTGTTGGTCTAAAGCTTGGAGAGGAGATGGACACTGCTAATTTATCTTGAAGTACACTGAAAGGATCATGTGGTGGAAGAATAAAAGCCTGTTTCTTCTGCCCTTGGGTTCCCCCTGATGATTGAAGCCGTTGTGGGCCGTATAATGATGATAGATTATTGTTCTTGATGTGGGTTGATAAATTTTACATCAAATCTGATGTTTACAATGGGAGCACATCGTGAATTTTTGTCTGACAATAAACACTTTTTCTCTCAAGGAGGCCCCTTGCCTCAAATGCCTACTGAGATTATTCAAGCTCACTCCAATCATAAAGTGGAACTCTTGTATATGATCTATCACTAAAGTTGCTGGAAAAATGGTCAGTTCCCTGTTGTTGCTCCAGTAAGCACCTGCTTCCTCCTGCTATCCACACTCCTGATCTTTTATTGTCCTTTCTCTTCACTAAAGTCTTCTCATTCTTCCACTCTAACCCATTGTGCCCTGGTGGTATTATTGCCTTGTCTGAGATGAAATGATTAAAATAAAATCCTCTGCCTTTACAAGAACCAGATCAGGTTAGAAATGGAGTGCTGTTGCTAGTAGATCGTCCAAAAGCATTTACATGACCTTGTGGGTGATGAATTATTTCCTACACTGTAACTCCTTTCCTTCAAAAACTGGGGTCGAAACACTATGAAAGGGTGAAAATAGATTTTAATACCAGAAATACTTTGCAAAAAATTATTACCAGCAATACATTTTTGAAATACAAATATTGCCAGCAATATATTTTTGAGGAAAAAAAAAAGAAAAGAAAAACATATGTTACCAGCTATACATTTTTGAAAAAAAAGAAAAAATATTGCCAGAAATAAAATTTTTGAAGGAAAAATTTTACCAGAAATAGATTTAAAAAAAATATTACCAACAATAAAAACTGTCGGCATTAAATAACCCATTGAGGTTGATATGCTGTAAGACCAAACCACACCAGACCCTTTCCTTCAGACAAAACATTGTAGGCCTCTCACTACTCTGATTATATCCATAGAAAATCTGACAAGCTATGGGGGTGGTCCGAACGTCTTGTCACCCTTACATAATATTATTTTCCATTTCAGATGGCTGACATAAGCTCCTACAGTTTGGAAGAGATGGTTAGGGTGACAAAACTTTCAGACTGTCCTGTTCATTCCTTTGTTCAATCAGTTCTAAACTTCAGTGCTAAATGCCCCACCCACCATGCCACATTACATAACAAATCACTTGTGTTTGTCTTGTCTGGTTTTTGCACGTTGAGAGTGCTTCTCTTGACTGAGAAAAACACTGATGTTATATCGCTCTCTCAGTCCCAGACTCATGCTGACTATTGGTTAATAATACTTGCCCAGTATCGTTCATATGAAAATAGTCAGCACCACCTACTCTAAGTAGGTCTTCTCTCAACAGCCCATTGTGGAAGAGGACACAACTCCTGGTGCTTACAGCACCACATACAACCAACTCAGAGTCTTTTATCGGGCTGACCTGATTCTCTGTTACATCACTATCATTCATTCTGTATTGCTTTAGTAAGTTCCACTCAAGCAGCTTCTGTGTGGAACTGACTCCCAAGAGGATGCTTCCTCAACCATAACAATCTTAACCTGTTCAAATCCAGGGTTAACTGTTATCTTTCCCACATATCCTCAAACTGTCTCTCTTACTCTTTCCACTTACACACAACACTATTTTGAATGGCTCTTGGTCCCTTTTATAGGGTAAACATCGGTCAGGGTTGTTGGGATTATTATCAGTGGATTTTTCTATTTTGTGGATTTTGTAGGCTTTGTGTTTGTTATTATACAGGAAATAATTTGGGTATTGGAGGATTTTTAAAGTTTTTTTCAAAGCATTTTTTTCCACATCAGGTAAAAATTGCAGGTTACAGGTTCTATGATTGTTTTTGATTTAATCCTATTGTCATAAGAGTAGGAGGTCGTTTTTTTTTTATTTGTGGACTTTTGGTTGATTTTTAATTTATGTTTACATGTGCATATTAACATCACATTGAGTTTACTTTTTTTTTTGTTCCATAACTGACCCAGTGATTTGCTAAATAACTCATTTCTCCCTTTTTGAATATTTACTAAGTGTTTTAAGCCACTGAATGTTTTTTGAATAAGTTTTATGTGCCGACTTGAGCCGTTTTGCTTATGATCTTATTGCTTTCTAAAACCTGAATGATTTAATGGTACAAAAAGTGGGAAGTGTTTGAAAATTGTGTGCTTGTTTCACAGTAAAAATACTCCTTTAAAGAAAAAGTTGATTAGCATCCTCTTAACATGTGGTAGATTCTCTTTTTATTTCTCACATATTTTATCAGACTTGATTTTATTTATTTTTTTTCTCTTTTTAATGGATTACTTGGAGAATGAAGCATGGGAAATGGTTGCTTTTTTTTTTCTTGCTTTTTTTTGCTTCTTTTTAATAACTATGAGAATCTGAGTTGCCTTGACAACAGCTATTCATTCAAATTCGATCAGTTTTGAAATTCATTAGCCAACCATCCCCACCATTTTACAGCAGTTCCTCTCCCCCTCTTTCTCTCTCTCTCCACCTCTCTCTCCCTCTCTCTCTTTCTCCCTCTCCCATCTCTCTCTTTCCACTCTTTCCCCACTTTCTCTCTCCCCTCTTTTTCCCCTTCTCTCCCACTTTTTCTCTCCCCTCTTTTTCCCCTTCTCTCCCTCTTTTTCCCCTTCTCTCCCCTTTTCTCCTTCTCTCCCCTTTCTCTCCCCTCTTTTTTTTCTCCCTTTCTCTCTCCCTCTTTCCCCCTTCTCTCCCTTTCTCTCCTCCCTTTTCCCCCTTTTCCCCCTTTTCCCCCTCTCCCTTTCCCCTTCTCCCCTCTTTCCCCCCCTTCTCCCCCTTTCCCCTTTCCCCCTTTCCCCTCTCCCCTCTTTTCCCCCCCCCAGTTTCTCCCCCCTCTTTCCCCCCCTTCTCCCCCTTTTCCCCCTTCTCTCCAGTTTCTCTCCCCCCCTCTTTCCCCCTTCACTTTCTTTCTCTCCCTCTTTCCCCTTCTTCTCCACTTTTCTCTCCTCTCTTTTCCCCTTCTCTCCCACTTTCTCTCTCCCCTCTTTTCCCCTTCTCTCCCACTTTCTCCCCCCTTTCCCCTCTCTCCCCTCTTTTTCCCCTTCTCTTCTCTCCCCTCTTTTTCTTTTCCTCCCTTTTCTCTCCCCTTTTCTTCTCTCCAGTTTCTCTCTCCCCTTTTTCCCCTCTTTCTCTCTTTCTCTCTCCCCTCTTTTTCCCCTTCTCTCCTTTCTCTCTCCCTCTTTTCCCCCTTCTCTCTTTCTCTCCCCCCCTTTTCCCCTTCTCTCCCCTTTCTCCTTCTTTTTCTGTGTGTTTGTATATATATATATATATATATATATATATATATATATATATATATATATATATGATCTCATTATATCAACTCCCTATAAAAAAATCCTTTTTCTTTCTCTCATGTCCTTTTATTCCTCTCCTTCTCTTTATTCCTTTTTAATTTTAACCAAACCTGTTTACATGCCCAACTGAATAAAGATAAAAATACGCCTTGTGTTGGGATGAGATTTTTAAAGAATGAGTGAGACCAAAAAGAGAGGAAAAGAATAACGACATGGGTAAGGAGATCGAGTTGGCCCAGTGCATTACACATTGTTATGCACCTCAATATACTTATAAAAGCCTCCAGATTTTCTTTATTTAAATAGATGCTGCCAAGGATATGTCTCTCCTTATCACTGAAGATATTAATTTCTGCTTTCTTTATTTTAATTTTTTTTCTTTTTTTTCTTTCTGTAATTGACGAGATAATTATCCGTTAACTCTTAGGCGGTTTCAGGTTGTTGAATCAGGGGCATAGAAAAATAATTGCTGTGTCTAAATCTTTGGCATTTTTCAAAAGAAAAAGAAAAAAAAAGTGGGAGGTGTGAGTAGGGGAGAGTGAAGATTCCCCCCCCCCATAACAAACTCCCCCCATCCCACCTAGTTTTGATGAAGCAATGGACTGAAAGATATTTTTATATCTTTTTTTTATTTATTTTTTTTTTTTTACAGTAAGGTTCACCCTGTACCAGGCCATAGGGCCTATTAAGGGGTAGTTTATATAGGTGGGAGGGGAAGATAACCTGTTCAAGTCTAGAGTCAACCGTTAAGATTATAGTGATTGGGGAAACATCCTCATAGGAATCTATTCCACAGATTAGTGGTTCGCAAGAAGAATTTGTTTGAGTGGAACTTCTCACTGATGGAATACAAAGGGAATATGGATAGTTTGCTACCAAGGAAGTGGCATTGTGAGTCCTAGTGAAGCTCAGACCTGCTGGAACCAGGAAAGGTAGTTTGTCCAAGAGCTTTCTATGGTAGTAGCAATAGAGCAGTGAGAGACTCTCCACATTCCACTTGTGAGAGAGAGGTTTGAGTGTGGAAAATAATTCTGCTCCAACAATGACTTGGAGACACTTTTGAACTCTATCACAACTGTAATGTGAGGTCTGGACAATGGTGCACAATTTTCAGCCTGATCTAGCTCTTATAAAGTGGGTGATAGCATGAATCAGACAATCAAATTGACAAAATGGAGATAAAATTTAACACATAAACCCTAAATTGCAAATATGAATAGGCATGCTGTTGTAAATGAGATTTTAGATGCATCACTCATATGAAAACAACCATCTAGACAACATAGTTGTGGTGTGACCAACATATATATTATATTTTCTGTTGGCGATACAATGTCCCAAGTGGCTTTTAAATTTATATATAATGTTGGTTTACAACACATTAGTTGATGGGGAGGAGGCATTATGAATGATTAAATTGGATATATTGAATGTAGTATAGTATATAATTTTTTTTTAATAGGATCTGTGGTGGATATATTAATATTTATTAGGGTTTTTGGTATTTCTAGGATATTTTTGTCCTGTTTATAATTAGAATGTATTTGATTGCAATATAAAAGATTAATATGTTTAGGTTTATTTGATGAACTGTTATATACTATTTGATTTATATTAAAATTTCTAATAGAATGTCTTATTTAAAAAAAAATTGTCAAAAATACATCTATACTTTTTCATGAAAATAAACATAAACTAAAAATTCTTGAAGCTATCTATATTAAAAAAAATTGAAACCAATTCAATAAAATAGGAATACTGTATAAATTTTTAAAAATGTTTACAGTAAATAGTTTAAAATCTCAAAGTTATAAAGAAGGAAGAGTTCATTCTAATGTAGATAGGTCACTATAACAAAAACCCAGTTTGTCCTGCTATTTACCCATAGCTGGGGGTAGAAGATGAGGATTCATACATTTCCCAAGGCTATTAGCACCTAAGGGAATATTGGTTCAGTTATGTGCCATGCGTGATACAAGCGTAAGTGATCATGTATCTTTCGACAATGCAGATTTCTTTCCCGCAGTAAGTTGCTGTTTCTTTCTGTGGTAGACCAGTTGCCATCTAAGGCTATAGAACCCAGTCTGTCCTGCTATTTACTCATAGCTGGGGGGAGAAGAAGAGGATTCATGCCTTTCCCAAGGGTATTAGCACATAAGTGAATGTAATGAATCTGACTGGAATTCGAACTTGGCTCTCTCAATCCAAGCTACTATCCATTAGTCCACCATTATATATATATATATATATATATATATATAGTCTTAAGGTGTGCTATATTTATGGGATAAAGTGCTCAATATCAGAGATAGAGCGTGTGTAAATATAAAAGTGAACATAGAAGTCAACACTTAGAGGCAACAGTCTGTTTCATGCTATATGCAATCGTCAGGCCACATATGCTGTTATTTTTCTCGGCTATTTATATATATACGGGTTAGTGGTGCAACAAAGCGACTTCCGGTAAAAATAACCGCCATAATAGAATACCCACAATGCACCACTAACCCGTATATATATAAATAGCCGAGAAAAATAACAGCATATGTGGCCTGATGATTGCATATAGCATGAAACAGACTGTCGCCTCTAAGTGTTGACTTCTATGTTCACTTTTATATATATATATATATATATATATATATATATATGTGTGTGTGTGTGATGTAATGAATATGCATACACCTGGGTTCCCCCTCACAGTAATATGATTGGCTGGTGTCAGCCATAAATACAGACTGATGTGGAGGTACATGGATGACACCTATTGTCTTCGTCTATTGGCCTACGCCTATTGCCTACCACTACGATGAGGACCAGTCCATTACTGTTACCTGCTAGATTGTACTATTCGGTTACAGTAGTTCAAAACCACTTTGCTACTTTGAACAAATATATCCCTTTCCAGGACATATAATTCTATTTATACATTTATGTAGATTTTTGGCACATTAAAAAGCTTTTAAAATAATTAAAAATATATTACTCATATATATAAGAAATAGTGTGTGTGTGTTTAAATTTCATTTGACCATTTGGAACTAATTATATATAATTGCAACCTGCATGTGTGTTTGATGTCAATTGTTTATCTCTCAACAATGTCTAACAAGTATTTCTCTATTTGGATCTAATATAGATTGATAAATGCAGAAACATTACAAGTTATTTGTTGCTTGTTTAATTAGATTTACAATTATCTATGGCAGTTGACCTAAGAGTTCTTGTTGTGCACAATTCTAACACAACTAATTATAATGACCCCTGACTTTCCACTGACATGCATTCTCGATTATATCAGCTCTTGTAAGGGGATGCAAAACCCCACTTCTCTCCCAGCATTAAGTTACTTAGATATACGTTGTTTTTAAAATTATTGTCTTTCTATCTTTCTAGCCTTGAGTGAAATGAATTAATTCTATTTCAGGAGCACTTGGAAAGTATTAATTAACTCGGAAAACTGATTTTTTTTTTTTTATTTTAAATGACTTTGATTAATTGGGATCACAAAACAATGTAGTTCCCTTTTTCAACATTCCCATTCTGCTACTATCAACCTCAGAACTACCACCTAACTAAGAGACGTCCTGGCTATGATGATAAACTACATCCAGCAGCAAGGATTTGGATCAGGAGGATTTGAGGAGTGTGGAACCACCTCTTAATTGCTGGTATTCCCAGGTCCACACTGACCTGGAGTGATAGCACCTGTTAGGGTCCTAGCTGTAGGCAAATAGTTTACCCCAAACTGGGGTCAAAATACTATGAAAATAAGTTTTAATTCTAGCAATACATTTTTGTAAAAATGAAAATCTTGTCGGCATTAAATAACCCATTGAGATGTTGATATGCCATAAAACAAACCAAACCTAAGTGATGAGTTGGCAGAGATACTTAGTTGTTTGGGATGTAGGCAATCATGGCCCTCCACATCGTCCTGTTCTACCATTCATTTACTCAGACTCATCAAGTATGTTATGCACTGCTTTCCACTCTCCCTCTTCCCCTCAATCTGTCCCGTGAGCATCAGATTTTCCAAGCCCTCCTTCCTCATTACATGCCCCAGAAATTTCAACTGCCTCTTCCTGATGTTAACTATAAGTTCCCTTTTTGTTTCCATATTCTATAAAACTTCATTGCTGCTCACATTTTCTGTCCATGGTATCCTCAGCATCCTTCTGTAGAACCACATTTCTGTTGCTTCAAGGCTCTTTGACATTGTTGACAAGATTGTCCAGCACTTGCTGTCATATCAGTAGAGAGATATCATGTAACAGTTCATTACTCTTTTCTTCATTTCTAATGAAATTTTTTTCTCTCAATTATTTTGGAATGTATGTATTACTAGACCATAATGCCATACCATTCAAATTGGAGTATCTGGGATTCTGGAAAGATTATCATTTGCCATCTTCTCCTCCTTTTGATTGATGTGATAAACAAAGATAAGATACTTAGTGATATAATATACTTGTTGGCCTATAACCTGCAAGCTTTACAAGAGCTTTATATATAGATGTTTGTCTGTGTGTATGTACATGTCACTTTTTCTGCTGACTTTGATTCATCAGTCAAACATGTCAAAGTTTTCAAATTGGCTAATCTAGTTTCTTAGATTAGGTGCGTCAAAAATATGTCCTATATAACAGTAAGACATTAGCTAGATTAAGACACCATTGACATTATGTAGGACATGTTTCTGTCAAACTGTGTGTGTGTGTATATATATATATATATATATTATTTTCAGATAGTGTATTTGTAAAGGAACTAAATGAATAAAAAGACGAAAAACTATTCTTAGCAGATGCATTTCATCTTCTGAGGGACTTTATCAAGTCAAAAATAAATTTAGCTTTATAGTCTCCAGAGGCCAAAATGCTTTGCCTAAAAATAGTTTTTCTCACATCTTTTTATTATATATATATATATATATATATACACACATACATACAAGATCAAATGCAGATCACAATCCAACAGCATGATAAGCTAAAGAATAAATAGGAAACATTTATTAATCTAACATGTTTCACTTTTATTAAAGCTTCATCAGAGATTGAGAGAAAACAAAAAAGACAAAACTTTTGGTATTTTCAATTTTGTTTGGATCAATTCTCATTGGTCAGTCATGTATCATGTGCATGGAAACCATAGATAATTCTATATGTATGTAAGTTTGGAAAAATTCTAATATGTCTAAGCCGGCATCATATGGTAATGTGTATTCATAATTTTGCATGTCTCTGTCTAGTAGGAGAAATTCTAATATTTTCACTTTTGTGTTGTCAACCAGTGTAGTGCTATTCTATTAATCCGGAGCTGTTTTTATATATGTATTCTTTGTATTAGATAGATATAAGTTAGATTATTTAAGAATGGATTCACTGAAGGGTAGTGATGCAATGTTTTAAGCATGTGTTTATAGTTGGTTATAATCTTATTAACCTTTCAAAGTATTTTCTCCTTGAAAAATTATATTCTTTTTTTTTTAATTAGAGTGGCATTAGTAAAATCAAGTTATAGGCAGCATCGTTACTGTGTATTATGAGAGAATTAGAACATTTGTCCAAACATAAAACTCTCTTCTGTTCATAGAAGCAATTTTTAGATCATATGATGACTCTCCTACAAATAAATTGTTTACAATGCAAAAATGTTTATATAAACGTTTCACACATACACACACACACATATACACACATATATAATTATTTATTCGAAAATTATAACATAAATATGTTATAAAATCACTATAAAAATAGCCATTTTGTTTCAACACTTCTGATGTCTTATCAAGTGATGGTGTTGAATGTAGAATTCTACATTCAACACCATCACTTGATAAGACACCAGAAATAGCTCCAGTTTGTTCAACTTAGGAAAGTTAGCATTGCAGCCAAAGTATTTTAAAATGCTGCCAATAACAAAAAAGAAAATGAAAAATACCTAACAACAAATTGAATCTAGCATCAACATTTATATCAACATTTATATTATTTTTATTTATTTGTTATTTAACTAAATACATAACTTTCAACAATGTTTCCATAAAACTTGATATTTCCTGTAATAAATTCTTAAATATTATTATTGTTATTTTAGTTAAGTGTAAGGTAGTCCTACATTTACAATTTCTTACGGCTAATCATGAAAAGAAATGTTGATCAAAACTGCCTAAAATCTTCATATTGCTGCAAAATTATCAAATGTTGAATACACCCCTCCTCTACTGGATGTGTCTGATAATACTGATAATAGTATTAATGGGTAGAGGTCAGTCATACCAATGATCTTGTATGTATCATCTTGGGAGAAGGTTGTTTGTTTGTTTGTTTTTTTTAATGTTTTACTTATAAATTCAAACATTTACTGAATTTGAGAAACCTACTTTCTTTTCCTAAAAAATTGTTTTAAGAGAAAGATTTTGCAAATTTCAACCGAAAGTGAGTCTAAATTCTTGGTCAATGAATGACAAATGTTTCTTAAGGCAAATAGATGAAATAGTAGCATAAGAAAATGGTTAAGAAAAAACCCCCAAAAAACCCAGAAGTTTCAGACATGGCATTGTTCTTTCTAAATGAAAAACAATGAAATTGAACCATATTTTTTGTTTTATTTTTTTCTTTTTGTAGTTGTCCATGTGTAGATTTATTGTAGTGCTTTATTGGACTGACCCTTGAACTGTAATGTTACAATATTAATTATCAGTTCATCTATATTAGGCAAATGAATGGCAAAGTGGAAAAAAAAAACAGTCTAATGTATTTCATCCTCTAGAAAGACTTCAACACTTTATATCATTTGTTCATCTTTATTGTTTTAACCTTGCTAGGCAATGAAAAGTCATTGTTTTTGGTTTTTTATTATTATGCAATTTGTCAAGCCCTACCTTACTAGGTGAGAGAGACCATTTCTATGGTGGGTGTGGGATTTTCATATTCATTGTATTTGAAGGTGTGGTAAAGTGTCTGTATCTGTGTGAATGAATTGCCAGATTTACCAAACATAATACACTATTTGAATTTAAATTCAAATGATTTCTGATAAAACAATATTAATGCATGGAATTTTTTTTTTTTTTAAATACCTTTTCAAAGCAAAAATCTTGGCAGTCATTGATGAATTGTCATCTTTTTTGTTGTGTCCTTTCATGACATGTCTTTCTTTTTATGTGCTGTGCCCTTTCAGGATGTAGGTGATCACAGCTCTCCACTTCTCCCTATCTCCTGTAGCTCTTAATAAGTTTCGTCCATCTGCCACCTCCCCCAGACCACGTTATGTCATCCATTTGCTTAAGCCCGCTAAATATGTCATGCTTTGCTTTCCCTTGTCTCTCCTTCCCTGTATTCAACCTGTGAGTATTCGATTTTCCAGTCCTTCCTTTCTCATTACGTGTACCAGAAACCTAAGCTGCCTCTTCCTGATGTTAAGTATAAGCCTCCTCCTTGTTTGCATCCTCTCCAAGACCTCATTGTTGCTTACACACTCAATCCATGGCATCCCAAGTATCCTTCTGTAGAACCACATCTCTCGCCATGAGTCTATTCTTCATCTTTGCGGAGACCATCCAACATTCACTGCCATAATGGAGTACTCTTTCAGGAGATGGTTGATCCCAAAACATCCTGTCTTTTGTATCTCAAAGTAATTTTTCATCCTTGACCATTTTTTTTTTTTTTTTAAATTCCTTGTTCTGCCATCCATTTACACAAACTCATGCAGTAGGTTAATAGCTGTTCTTTCACTGTCTATCTTGCCTTCTATAAGTCTTGTGAGTTTTGTATTCTCCAGCCCTTTTTTCTTCATTTTGTATCTCTTAGTAAAAACAAACTGGTTCTGTCAAGTTTGGGTCTAGTTTTGTCAATTATAACTAATTTTAGTTTGTCCCTTTTTTTTCCCTTGTCATTGGGGGCTTACAGCCATATCATGTTGAAACAGTGGTTCTTGTACAATCACCCAAGTTAAGCAACATCAGACCTTGTCAGTACCTAGATGGGTGACCACTTGGAAATATCAGATGCTGTAAACTTGGATGTTTGTGTGATGTAATGGATAATTGCTTGGAATTGTAAATTGGAGAGCCGAGTTCCAATTCCAGTTGTGTTCATTATATGTACTTGTGTGCAAAAAAACTTTAGGAAATTTATGAATCCACCTCTTCTCCTCTCAGCTATGGGTTAATTAGGGCTTGTATCAGTCAATCATTATTTTCTTACACTCTAAAAATATTTTCTGGCTTTAAATTATCTCCAAATAAAAAACAAATCAATCAAATTCAGTATGAAAAGGGCACTAATTTCTATAAGGATGCAGTTAGACTAAAAATCAGACATAGATCCTTAATGTGTATAATGCTAGAACTTTTTTTGTATTTTAATCTTTTTTTTTTGTATTTTAATCTTTTTTTTTTATATTTTAATCTTTTTTTTATAGTTTTAATTAATCCTTTTTTATTGTGTAGTTTTAATTAATCCTTTTTTGTTGCGTAGTTTTAACTAATCCATTTTTTTTTTTGTCATTTTAATTAATTTTTTTTTCTTTTTTTTTTTTTTAGTTTGGGTCTTTTTTTTTGTTTCCCTAGACTTTTAATGTCAAAGGCTACATCAATAATTCCACAATCAATTGTCATGATCCATAGAGTTGTTAGAGTACAAAAGAAAAATACAAAATAGTACAAAAATTAGTTCACAAATTTTTACATAAAAATTACACAATAAAAACAATGACTGAAACTCTGGTAAGAGAAATAAAATTTGTGAAATCCTAAAACATGAATAACTGACTCAAAACTAATGTATTCTAGTAGTTCCGACCTGACACATTCTCAGTATCATTTCTTACTCACTTTTGGCATTGCTTTTTTGGATGAAGATAGCTGATGGCCTGTGAGATATGCATTATAAATTTCAATAAAGTTGTATTGTCAGTTTTCTTTGATAGAAATCTATTGATAAGTTCATTATTATTCAAGTAAAATCTATTTTTGATTTTACATAAAGCTAAATGAAGAGGTCTGAAAATTATATTTCTTTCTTAAGGGTCACCAACTATCTGGAAATCTATTCAGGGTTCCAGCTGCAAAATGTATGGATTGCTGAAACAAGATCTAATGTGACATTTTCCATGGATTTTAGAGACATAAAGTAATGATTATCAAAGCCATTTCCTTTTTTAATGGTAGTTGTAAATAAATTCTACATTTAAATTGATGAAATTAATGGCTTCAAGGGAGTGAATCCTCTTTCCACAGATTCTCATCTAGTTTTGTTACCCCTTTCTGGCTTCTCTAATTCCAGAGAATGAAGTGTGGCCTCTTGAATAATTTTCACCTCCCTGGCCAGCTTTATTGGTCATCATCTTAAGTGGCCAGTAAAAATGCTTTAAGGCCAATCAATCCTCTATTTGTCTGTTTCTCTCTCTCCTTAAACTGTCCTGACCTTCTTTCAGAGAAAGCTTTTTAAGTAAGGACCTCAAGAACAGGTAAGGATAAAAAGCCAACTGAAATATCCAACCCCTCCAGAGCTTTGGGCCTGTACCCATACACAGCATAGAAAATGGGAATATCTCTCTTTTTCTCCATCATTGTTCTCGTGTACGTTGTACAAATGCAGAACAGCCAGCTTCTGCTTGTATTTCTTTTGTTTGTCTCTCTTTATGTTGGTATTGTCTTCCTCTCTTTTTGCAACTCTCGTCCCCCTCTCTTTTTGCTACTCTCGTCTCACTCGTCTGCCTCTCTTTGCCCCTCTCGTCATCTTCCCATTTAGTTGAATTTTTCTTCCTTGTCTCTCCCTTTCCATTGCTTTTATCTGCTTCCCTTTTCGTCACTCTCATCTGCCTCCCTTTCTCATCACTCTTTCATTGGTCTTCACTTTCATCTTTTTTCTTTTTTTATTTATCGAATGATTCTATATACACTAATTTTTATTCCATCTCCAGTCTCCCAACCTTATCCTTTTTTTTTGTTTTTACTTTCTTTCTTTATTCTTTAACAACTTGTCCTGCCACGCACCCCCCCCCCCCCACACACACACAACACCTTCATTCCAGGTTTTCTCTCGGATTCCCAGCCAAGTGCATTATTACACAGTCGGAATGTTAAGAAGGAGACAGACTTGTTTCTGCTTCTCCGTTCCTTTGTCCAGACCCCCATTCCTTGCCTACCTGGAGGTTAAAACAAGGAGTTAGAATCAAGAATGCGAATTACTTGTTTTCCTCTCATAGGTTCTCTGCTCTTCAATATCGAATTATTATACTTCTTTCTCGGTTGGTTACAAATATCAAGAAACTGATAATTGAATTTGCTTTGGCAGGAAAATTGGTTATATATTGGAGCATTGGTTTAATCATAAGTTTCTAAAATTAATTGAAGGAAGGAAAATAATGATAATAATAAAATTAATTGAAGGAAGGAAAAGATCGGAGGTTAGTCTGCTTGCTGTCAATCTTTCTTAAAATTGTCCCAAGATGTGTTATTTACCCCTACCTACTAAGAAATATTCATTAGACCTGTTTAGGTAGGTGTAGAACAATAAGCTGTACCTAAAAAGATCGGAGAGACAACTTGAAAAACAAGCGAATGAGCTATGTTCAGGCTGTGGAAAAAAGATGTTGAAACGAGAGAGTCACTTGTAGAGAAAATAAGACTTTGATGGAGAATGAAAGACGGTTTTATTAGGGAGAGATGGGATATTAAGTCAAAAGAACGTCAATGTGCCTTAGGGAGAGGAAGGTGGGCATTGAAGTGAATGAGTGAGTGGAAAATAGATACAGTGAAAGGTGTTAGGAAGAAAAGTGGTTGCAGTGAGAAGATTGAAAAAGGAAAGGGTATATCTGAACAGAGGGAAGAAGGTTAAGATAAAGAGAAAAACAAGAAAAAATCTATGATTTATTCATCGTTCTTAATGCTTTGTCAGCAAGTTAAAAAAAATCTGGTATTAATTATAATAACTCACAATACCCTTGAAAATTTCACGATTTTCCTGTTTTGAATTTTCCGATGAGTCATTATTCTTAATTTAATGATTAAGCTCTTTGCAATTTCCCATTACCATGACTAAAATACCTTTGACTATTGCCTTGTTAACTATTTGAGCGTAACTATAACAACATATTATAACACTAACAACAATTGTGAGTATAGGTCATTATTTAAAGTTAAATTGGTACAAATGAAAAGATTAGAAATTGTCATGGTTTTACTAATATATTATTTAAAGGTCAAATGCAGATCAAATATGGATCGGAAAACGACAGGATAAGATAAAGAACAAACAGGAAGCACTTATCAATTTTTCACTTCAAAAGACCAGGGTGGAGTTGTAGTATAGCTAAAACATTGGCGTGATGTTTAAATTTTAATAGGGAAAAATTAGTTATGAAATTATAGAGAATCAATTGTTAAGTCCTACTGTTAGGAAAATTGTTTCACTGTGTTGGGCCAGACAATTCTTCTTGTTAGAATCCATCTTGCAATTTTATAAATCTATTATTTGCCTTTACATAGAATACTGCTGCCATATCTGGTCTTGCACTCCTGCTTCATATCTCAAGATTCTTGAGAAAATTCAAAAAAGGGTCTGTAATGTAATCCATCCTGACCTGGCATCTCAGCTTCAGTCACTTACTCACTGATATGACACGACTTCCTTCTTAACAAATAGTGTTTCTTATTTTTGTTGTCAATTCTCAAGAACAAAGTAAATGTATAAATATATTTCCATATATTTAGGTTTTATTACAATTTTAATCCTCACGTTCTAAACAATAAACATTGCCAAGGAGTTAAGATTAGTTAAGATGATAGTGGTGTCAGTAGAAAAAAAATGTCATTTTGACAATCCATTTTATTTGCGGATACAAAGATCTAAGTTTGCAAGTTTTTAGTGACAATGACAGACAATGTCTTCTTTATAACTGGTTTTGACAAGACACAAAGGATATGATGAACAGCTTTGTAAATGTAGTCAATCCTCTGACTATATTTTGACCACACTTTAAACACCTTGGCAAATTAACAACTACCACATAAAAGTGTTATTTGAAATAAAGTTTAAAACATTTTCTCTTTATATATATATATATATATATATAATGGCAATAAAGGCAAGAATTTTTTTACCAAAGGCCATGATAAATTTTAAAACACAGACACAAGTCGACCGGTTTCATCCCCTCTCATCAGAACTGTAAACGGGGAAACAAATTATGAGAAGAAAGTCTGTCATTCACGTCATCTGCGACAGACTTTCTTCTCATAATTTGTTTCCCCGTTTACAGTTCTGATGAGAGGGGACAAAACCGGTTGACTTGTGTTCGTGTTTTTGTTTTAAAATTTATCATGGCCTATAGTAAAAAATTTCTTTCCTTTAATGCCATAATACGTTTTTGTACCGTTAAAAATATATTTAAATATATTAATGAATATGCATATACCTACGTTCGAAGTGCAACTTAAAGTTTCTTTATTCTACCAACTCATCAGGCACGAATTATTACTTTTTAATTTGTGCCTGATGAGTTGGTAAAACAACAAAACTTAAGTTGCAATTCGAAAGTATGTATATTTATTAATATATACTTCTTAGCTCTGTCTAACCACATTGAGCACTGTTTTGTTTATACCTTATATTGAGTAAATATTTATCCGCTTATCTGTATATGCATGCTAACGCGCATCTATACACATGATAATATCTAATTATTTGGTTTATATCCACATTTACATAGCAACTCAGTCTGAACAGCAAGTACTATTCACACGTGATATATGATTTGATGAAAGCTTGTGTAGACACTACCCAACTTTTTAGAAGAATGCAGAAATATACAGGGTAGGCTGTAAAAAAGTGACAAGTTTATTATCACTATTTTATCCTCCAGGAATAATTGACTGAATAGCCTTAAACAAATTTTTTGAATATTCATGACGTTTAATAATGATTCAACTCTTGCATAATTACTTAACTGGGGTTGGTTCTTTTGATTGATCAATTGCTGATCGATGTTGTTACTCATCATTTAAAAGGTTATTTGCAGACAACTTTTGTCTTTCCTTCTGCCTTTCTCATATGGCTAAACAACTCACTGATTTTGAGCGTCAAGTTATTGTACTTTTCGACGTGGGGATTGACAAAATGTGCAGAAATTCTTCCTGAATTTTTCGGTCACATCAGTCGTCACCTGTCTTCAACGATTGTCATACATCTTTCTGAATTCATCACTTGTTTTCTTTTCCCCCCAACTAGGCACCCTATAGTATAGGGTGTCACAATGTCCCCAAACAACCCACCTAAGTTTTTCAATTCAGAGTTGTCCCCATGCACCAGTTGCCACCCAAGGCTATAGAACTCAGTCAGTCCTGATATTAATCTATAGCTTTTAAAAGAGATCAATCCATACTTTCTTTTCTAACATACGTATAGAATCATCTATGGTTTTAATGCATGTGATACATGACTGACCAATGAGAATCGATCTAAACAAAATTGAAAATACCAAAGTTCTGTCTTTTTGTCAGTGTTTTCTCAATCTCTGATGAAACTTTAATAAAAGTGAAACATTCCTTGACCCAGTTAACTACTGATTGGAGGTCCTTTTCGAAATGAGTTGCCAGCTTTCTTTTGTCAGACTTGCTACTAAGACAGGAGTAAATGGTTATATCACCTGCATAAATACCTTGTTGGTAACTGATAACGTTGGACAGGTCATTGATGAAGATCAGCAACAGTATAGGTCCAAGGATAGAGCTCAGGGGACCCCCTCACATTAACATGAAATGGGGATAGATATATATCCATCCTCTACAGACAAACTGTTTTGCTGTATCACAGCTCCTCAGTATGCTTAGACATCCGATTGCTTCAAGCTGTGATTGAAACCTGACCGATTTGGCATCAGTCACAGATTCTACCCCCAAGCTATCATTGCACAGCAGAGTGGAATGGAAATTTTACCGTTTTTACTATGCATAAGGCGTCAGTAGCTAGGAGAGCTTGATTCAATTAGAAGAGATATTTAAAGATAAAGTAACTTTGAAGGAAAATTCTTCAGAGTGGCTATTATTGGAGCTTATCAAAATATAAATTTGTGTTTCGGATTTTCCAGTATCTTCATTCCTGAAAGAATTGCTTTCTTCCCAAGCCAAAATAAATGAATACAAAAAAAAAAAAAAAAAAAATGGAGAAAACTGTTAAATCCTTCACCTCTTATTATTCAAAATGTATAACACATACAATAATTTAAATACTAATTTGCATTAAAAAAAAAAAATTCCTAAACATCAATAATTCACTTTCATTTATTAGACATTGAATTGTGTCACTTAGTGTCCTCCATAGCTTTTCTAACTTTTTAGCTAACCTTATGAATATTTATGAGCATTCCTAAATGTAAAACTTTTGAAAAAAACAATGTTTTTGCTTTTTTTATATAAATACTCATTACAAAATAAAATCCTTGATAATGTCCCTCAGTGGATGAAACCCATTGGCTGAAATAACTTTTCCTTTTGTCCTCTGTGTGTGTGTGTGTGCGTGTGCGTGTGTATATATATATATATATATATATATATATATATATATTATATGAGATTATAATAAAGACATTTTAAATCGCTACACAAAAGCTTTCATGTTTCAATACTAGGATTGTACTGCCTTTATGCCACCCCCTTTAACTTTCAGAAAAGAGGTAATGGTTTGTTTTTAAATTTCCTTAAAAATCATTTTATCACCAGTTACTCACCATCATGGGAAGTACAATCATAGTATTGAAACATGAAAGCTTTTGTGTAGCAATTTAAAATGTTTTTATTGTAATCTTGTATAATAAAAATATAATAATATTTTGCTCTACTTTGTATTGAGCACTTTTTAAAAAAGTTAATGCTATGAACTGTGGATTTTTACTCCATTTGTTCTTTTTCTCATTTGGATGGATATATATATATATATATATATATATATATATATATATATATATTTGGTTGGATTGATGTGAGTTTGTAACCCTGGGTTTCACGCTTTTGCGATCGTCAGGTTACAAACTCACATCAATCCAACCAAATATGTTAGCTCTATCTCTGATATTGAGCGCTTTCTAATAAGTACCGCGCATATAATATATAAATAATTTATATATATATATATATATATATATATATATATATATATATGCCTGATACAATTTGATGTCTGTTTGCTTTAGCTTTGCCTAATAATACAAGCTTACTTTGTTCAAGGAATTTTTTTTTTCCCTCTGAAATCTTTTCAAAATTAATTGATGCAGACCTGGTTTGTAATATTTCCTTTCCATTAAGTGGCAACAAAATAACGGACTTGTTTACTGAATACAGTTTGCTAATGTTCAAACTGACATTATCTTAATCTTTACACACTGCAATATCTGGCATTCAATTCTGGAATGGTGGATTAAATTATCTGCAGATTTTGTAAGTTACAGGCAGACACACTTGTCTGCTACATATTCTTTGCATACAGACATACAAGAGAGAGACAGATTTCTTTGGTACAACATGCATTTGTCAAGTACTCTGGATGGAAGAAACCAACAAGCAATAGCTTATGACGGTCATACTGTTAATCATTGTTCAACAAGTCTCTCTCATACCTTACAGCCATATCACGTTGAAACACTGATTCCCCTGTAGAATCATCAAAGTTAAGCAATGTTGAGCCTGGTCAGTACCTAGATGGGTGACCACTTGGGAATCGTTGGTGCTGTAAGCTTGCATGTGTGGGTGGAATGGCATATGGCTGCATCATATTGAAACACCAGTTCTTGTACAATTACCGAAGTTAAGCAACATCGAGCCTGGTCAGTACCTAGATGGGTGACCGCTTGTGCATCCCAAGTGCTGTAAGCTTGGCTTATGGCTACATCATGTTGAAACACTGATTCCCCTGTACAATCTTCAAAGTTAAGCAATATTGAGCCTGGTCATTACCTAGATGGGTGACCACATGTGAATCCCAAGTGCTGTAAGCTTGGCTTATGGCCATATGTTGAAACACTGGTTCTCTTGTATAATCATCAAAGTTAAGCAATGTTAAGCCTGGTCAGTACCTAGATGGGTGACTATATGGGAATATCAGGTGCAGTAAACTTTGTGTGGGCAGTGTAATGGATAATGTTTCAGAATTGCTAATCGGAGAGCCAAGTTAGATGTTGACTTCAAGATCCACTTATCTCCCAAAAGGTTTTGTTAAATTCAACTGACAATGTGTATTTTATATATATATGTGCAGATATGTAGAAAAATAGGAAAGAACACGTTAGGTAAATAATATTTTTGAAAGCAGTGCTCCATACAGAAGTAGAGCTTAAATTATAATTATTTTTAAAGAAATATGATTCCTTCACTACATAAGAGTTCCCAAGTTTCAAAAACGAGAGCCGAAAACCTCAGTATAATTATTAAAATTAAATTGAATTAAAGTATCAAGCCCTGTTTCATCCTCAAGCGAAAATTTAGGAATAACCAATCTTGAAATTTATGCATCTTTATAAGCATGTTCATTCACAAAATTAATTACTATGGAAACGGCTGAGGTGACCATTTAGGTAAGGGGTTTAAGAGATTTTTTTTTAAATTATTTTTTTTATATATATATATATATATATATATATATATATATATATGATTAGAGGCACGGTGGGGTAATGGATATCGGCTTGGATTGTGGAATCGCAGAGCCAAGTTCGAATCCAAGTTGAATCCATTACATTTCACTTACATGCTAATACCCTTGGGAAAGGTGTGAATCCTCTTCTTCTCCCACCAGCTAAGGGTTCTACAGCCTTGGATGGCAACTGGTCTAGAGAAGGACAACTCTGAATTCAAAACCTGAGGGGGTTTTTGGGACCTTGTGGCACGTAGTGCACCAGGTCTCTGTATTCAGCCCCTTCAAAAGTGTGGATGGTCCTGCATGAAACCTTCACCACTATAATCGAATCTCATGTGCCGGGCTATCAGTTTCCTGAAAACTGATCTGCTTGACCCTCACACGTCGAACCCGATTTTTTATTTTTTATATATATATATATATATATATATATATATATATATATATATATATATATATATATATTCCAATTTCTAAATGAGATGTTGTATATTAAGAATGAAATTGTGAATGAACTTTCCAAAGTTTGTTTTTTATTTTCTCATGTAATAAAGACATTTGAGCATAAGTGAATACAACGAAAATGGATCAAAACTGTTAATTGGTGAGCCAAGTTCCAATCCCAGTGAGTTCGTTTTATTCATTTACATGCAAATACTCTTGAGAAAAGTATGAATCTGCCTCTTCTCCCCCCAGCTGTGGGTTAATTAGTAAGATTGATATCACTAAATCATTATCTCCCCACCCCCAAATCTTACAAACCCAAAATAATTTCTGGCTTTAAATAACCTGCCAAAGATTGTTTGATAAACTGTAGAAAACAAGGTTAATTTGCAGTTTAACACCTATGCTCAATTCGCATTAAAAATTTCCAGAACACTTACATTTATATGTAATTACATGCTACATTTGAATTTGGCTTGATAAATTTGATAAAATCTAACGTTTTGGGGTTATCAACAGTAAAAATTTGGATTCATTCGTGTCACAGGCAGCCTTTAATGGCGTTGTTTGCATACATTCGCTCCGGCATAGCTATGAATAGAATATTCACTTGTCTTGATTATTGTGCACACAATACAGTTTTTTTGTGCAGTAATTGAGACAAGTAAGATCAGTAACAATAAGACTGTTAACTACATTCTTCTGTGCTTAGCTTTCTGCAGTAAATGTATGCAAACAATGCCAATAATGGCTGCTGCCAATGACGTGAATGAACCTGAACTTTTACTGTTGATAACTCTCAAACAGTAAATTTTATCAAATCTATCAAGCCAGATTCGAATGGAGCATGTCCAATTACACATAAATGTAAGTATTCGGGAAATTCTGGGCGTGGGTGTTACATTGCAAATTAAATGAAAACTAATTAATCAAAAATTATATCATTTGAAGTTAAAACAGAATTCACATGTGTTTAAACAATTCTTGGGAAACTATCTTAATAAAGCAGGCTTACGGCTATATCATGTTGACACAACAGTTTCTGTATAATTACCAAAATCAATCCACTTCAAGCCTGGCCACTACCTGGATGGGTGACCACTTTGGCCACTACCTGGATGGGTGACCACTTTGGCCACTACCTAGATGGGTGACCACTTTGGCCACTACCTGGATGGGTGACCACTTTGACCACTACCTGGATGGGTGGCCACTTTGGCCACTACCTGGATGGGTGACCACTTTGGCCACTACCTGGATGGGTGACCACTTTGGCCACTACCTAGATGGGTGACCACTTTGGCCACTACCTGGATGGGTGACCACTTTGACCACTACCTGGATGGTGGCCACTTTGGCCACTACCTGGATGGTGACCACTTTGGCCACTACCTAGATGGGTGACCACTTTGGCCACTATCTAGATGGGTGACCACTGGCCACTACCTGGATGGGTGGCCACTTTGGCCACTACCTGGATGGGTGGCCACTTTGGCCCTACCTAGATGGGTGACCACTTTGGCCACTACCTGGATGAGTGACCACTTTGACCACTACCTGGATGGGTGGCCACTTTGGCCACTACCTAGATGGGTGACCACTTTGGCCACTACCTGGATGGGTGGCCACTTTGGCCACTACCTAGATGGGTGACCACTTTGGCCACTACCTAGATGGGTGACCACTTTGGCCACTACCTGGATGGGTGGCCACTTTGGCCACTACCTAGATGGGTGACCACTTTGGCCACTACCTGGATGGGTGACCACTTTGGCCACTACCTAGATGGGTGACTGTTTGGAAATACCAGGTGCTGTAAGATTGGATGTGCAGGTGGTGTAATCGATAATAGTTTGATCTTAAAAAAATTTAAGTGCAATGTCAGTTGTTATCTTCTTAATTCATGTTCTTCTATTGTTCCCTCTTCTTAAGTGTTTTTTTTTTCTCTCACATTCTCTAACACTCACTAACCCCTTGTCTTAGTTACTTTATTACCTTGCATGGGGTGAAATGATTAAACAAGAAAAAATATAAGTAGATATTTGCCATATTTTAACTCGTTAATATAAAGTCAATTCTACAATGTTATTGCTATGTGACAATTGCTTTTAAGTGGATTTCTTTCATATCATTTAATTTGCTTAACTACATTTCACTAATGAAAATAAATACTTGTAATGTGTTTTATAAAAGGACTTTGGGATGTCTCTTAATTTTAAAAACTTCTGTTTTTTTTTTGTTTTTTTTTTTTAAATTGGTTTGGCAGTTTTATTTACATGTTAGACTAAAGTGTTTTTGGTTGTTAATTTTTAACCAGTAACCTTTTCATTGTTTACAAAGTCAGTAGAAAAACAAAGATTAGTAAAGATATATTATCGCTGAACAATTTACTGTCTGACTCTGAAACCTGACTGCTGGTCACATGCTGATGTGTATTAAAGATTAACCTACTGACACATTAATTAACCCCCACCCCATCCAAAGGCAAGATGCATTCTTTCCAAACTGCCTTGCTTATTTAACTTCCATGTCAACCTGTAATGTGTTTTTTTATTTATTTATTTTTTTTTGTCTTAGGAGAGAATGCTTCTAAATGACTGTTTCTCTTCTTTTTGGTATCTGATATTAGACTGTTCTTTTTATTTTTTGCTCCCTACCCATTCATTCTAAAGATTTTTTTTTCTCTCTTTGTTTCTCTCCATTTTTAAGCCCCCCTTTTACTGTCTTTATCTCTTTCATTCCTTTGCTATGCTCTCTTGATCTCTGTGGTTCCTTTGCTGTACCCCCCTTGATCACTTTTTGTCCTCTTGCTCTGCCCCCACGATCACTTTTGTCCTCTTGCTCTGCCCCCACTTGATCATTTTGTTCTCTTGCTCTGCCCCCACTTGATCACTTTGTTCTCTTGCTCTGCCCCCTTGATCACTTTTTGTCCTCTTGCTCTGCCCCCCTGATCACTTTGTTCTCTGCACCCCCTTGATCACTTTTTTGTCCGCTTGCTCTGCCCCCTGATCACTTTTGTCCGCTTGCTCTGCCCCCCGATCACTTTTGTCCTCTTGCTCTGCCCCCCTGATCACTTTTTGTCCTCTTGCTCTGCCCCCCCTGATCACTTTTTGTCCTCTTGCTCTGCCCCCCTGATCACTTTTTGTCCTCTTGCTCTGCTCCCCTGATCACTTTTTGTCCTCTTGCTCTGCCCAGCCTTGATCACTTTTTTGTCCTCTTGCTCTGCCCCCCTTGATCACTTTTGTCCGCTTGCTCTCCCCCCTTCCGATCACTTTTGTCCGCTTGCTCTGCCCCGCCTTGATCACTTTTGTCCGCTTGCTATGCTTACTGCTCCTGTTGTCTCTCTTGTTCATTTGACACACTCCCCACCTATTCTTTCTAAAGATTTTTCTTTATTTTTGTTTTAGCACCCCACTTCTCTCCATTTTAAGCCCTTTTCCTTTTGCTTCTTTGATCTCTTTTGCTCCTTTACCATGCTCCCTGCCCCTGATGTCTCTTGTTCCTTCGCCACACTCTCTAACCCTGGTAGAAAGGATGGAATGTAGGATCAGAGGAAAAAAGGAAAGGTGGGAGAAAAGTGAAAGAGAGATCTACAGGTGAGAAAAGACACTATTAAAATCAACTTACTGTTACATCTAGCTAGTTCAACAGTAAAAAAAAAAAAACTACTTATTTGCTAATTTAGTATTACGCTTGAAATCATGCAACTAAGCCACAAGGGAGAAAAGCTCATTTGAAAAATTGCCATGAAAATATTTAGAGAAAAGGCAGAGGGAAGCCACCTTACGTCAGTATGGAATGTGACTAAAGTCGAGATGACAGGTCAGGATCAATTACATTACTCACCCTTCATTGGATTTTGTTAAGAATCTCAATAGATATACAGTCAGAGCACAAGTCCACATATGGCAGCAGTATCTTTGCGTTTTAACTTGATCAAAGCAAACTTCATCTTCTGTATAAATATATTTATGTTTCAACTTCTTCGCCACAACACACTTTTACTTTTTTCTTTCTTTCTCAATTACTCAAACACTTCTGTTATTTAAATATTAAACAAACTACCATGGCCACCACCACAGCTTGTTGGTTCTAGCCTCTTGGATGCTAACTGTGTGAGGCAGGCTGGGGAATATTCCTTGGGTAAGAGGTTAGGGCTAAGCAGCCTTGTTGTAGAAAGTAATTTGCTTGGTTGTCAGTGTTCCAGAGTAGGTGAATCAATGGAGACAGGGCATTGAGACAATATGGTGTCTGTCAAGTTGAGAAAGTGAATGGCAGTAATTGTTTTAAAAAGTAATTTTACTCTGTTCTTGACCTCGACCTTAACCCTGAACTTTTACCTTTCCTTCTCCCAAATATATCCCCTCTGCTTCATATTTTCTCTCTCAGTCTCTCTCTCTCTTCCTGGTGTTCCTCTTTAGTGTCTGTTTTCTCTTTCCACCCTATCCACATCCCACAAACACACACTTTACTTCCTCATCTTCCCAGGTTTCACTCTCTCCTAATTTCAAAAGCTCACTTGGTCTATTTTCTTCTTTTTTTTTAATTCTTTACCTGTTTTGTCATCTTTGCTCTTTCTTGTTGTATCTATCTTATTCCATTTTATTCAGGACTTGTTTCTTCCCTCTTTGTTTAATTTTCTGTTCTTGGCCTTTTTGTCCCACACTTCCATCTTTTTTAATCTCTGCCTATTATTTGGCATCTTCTTTTTTTTCTTTTTTCAAAACTATTCTTTTCCTATTTCTTTCTTTTTTTTATTCTTGGTTCCTTCCTTCCTTGTCAGTCCTTCCTTCCTTCCTTCCTTGTCAGTCCTTCCTTCCTTGTCAGTCCTTCCTTCCTTCCTTCCTTGTCAGTCCTTCCTTCCTCGCTTCCTTGTTGATCCTTTCTTCTTCGCTTCGTTGTCGGTCCTTTCTTCTTCGCTTCGTTGTCGGTCCTTTCTTCTTCGCTTCGTTGTCGGTCCTTTCTTCTTCGCTTCGTTGTCGGTCCTTTCTTCTTCGCTTCGTTGTCGGTCCTTTCTTCTTCGCTTCCTTGTCAGTCCTTTCTTCTTCGCTTCCTTGTCGGGCCTTTCTTGTCGGGTCCTTCCTTCCTTCCTTGTCGGTCCTTCCTTTCCTGTTGGTCCTTCCTTCCTTCCTTGTCGGTCCTTCCTTCCTTCCTTGTCGGTCCTTCCTTTCTTCCTTGTCAGTCCTTCCTTCCTTCCTTCCTTCCTTGTCAGTCCTTCCTTTCTTCCTCGCTTCCTTGTCAGTCCGTCCTTCCTTCCTCGCTTCCTTGTCGGTCCTTCCTTCCTTGTCGGTCCTTCCTTTCTCCCTTCCTTGTCGGTCCTTCCTTTCTCCCTTCCTTGTCGGTCCTTCCTTTCTCCCTTCCTTGTCGGTCCTTCCTTTCTCCCTTCCTTGTCGGTCCTTCCTTCCTCGCTTCCTTGTTGTTCGTTCCTTCCTTTCTTTTTCTGCATATTTCTCTCAGATCCCCCCCCGCAAGTCCCACTTCCAGTCCTTTTCCAATAAACGTTTGTCCATGAGTTTCTTTTGCCTGTAACATGCAAAAGAAACTGATGGACAAACATTATTCCAAATGGCATCATCGGTCTTGAAGCAACCCTCAGATATAATAGCAGTGGAGTTGTAGTGTTAAATTTAGAACACTTCAATAACAATGATGCTGACAAGTGGTAAATAAGTCTCACACCCTCCTGTTATCAACTCTCAAGTGCTCCATTCTTACCTCTTTCCTCATTTGTCAGCACCCCTCCACTGTTAATTTCTTACTGTCCCCTCTCTCTTTGATTTTCTTGAAGAGAAAATTGGCTCTTTACCCTCCTCCAGTCTTACAATGTTTAGTTCCACACTCCCCCTTCCATCAATGTCTTTGCTTGCCTTCTCCCCCTTCCATCAATGTCTTTTGCTTGCCTTCTCCCCTTCCATCAATGTCTTTGCTTGCCTTCTCCCCCTTCCATCAATGTCTTTGCTTGCCTTCTCCCCCTTCCATCAATGTCTTTGCTTGCCTTCTCCCCCTTCCATCAATGTCTTTGCTTGCCTTCTCCCCCTTCCATCAATGTCTTTGCTTGCCTTCTCCCCTTCCATCAATGTCTTTGCTTGCCTTCTCCCCCCTTCCATCAATGTCTTTGCTTGCCTTCTCCCCTTCCATCAATGTCTTTGCTTGCCTTCTCCCCCCTTCCATCAATGTCTTTGCTTGCCTTCTCCCCTTCCATCAATGTCTTTGCTTGCCTTCTCCCCTTCCATCAATGTCTTTGCTTGCCTTCTCCCCCTTCCATCAATGTCTTTGCTTGGTCTCACTCTCTCTCTCTCTCTCTCTCTCTCTCTCCCCTCCTGTAATTTCATTGTTTCTTCTCTTGGCCAATTAATGTCAAGAATTTACTTTGGTAGAGAATCAGAGAATCTTTATTTTTAATTAATTCACAAGTTAGACTTTGGATTTGTCAACAAAAAGGAAGACCGTGTCAGATACGGAAGCCAACTGTTAAATTGTATTTGCATATGGAACTCTCATAGCTTTTGCTATAAACAAAAGAAATGAACAATAACATTGCAGATTTTAATTGAATCACTTCTTGAGAAATGAATGCTGTAACATGAATATGAAACTTTCAAATGTCCTCAGGATCAAATACTGACGTATAGGTTACTTATTTTCAAACAGATTGGCCCTTTCTAGCTCACCGAACACGTGTTTGCTTACAACTGAAGCTAATAATACCAGTGTCCTATTAATATCATTTTTAAAAAATGAAATTAAAAAAATTTGTTTTTTTTTTTTTAATTTGGGGATTTGGAGTTTTTTGATTTTGTTTTTATGTTTTCGTTTTAAAACTTGATGTACTTCTCTCTCCATTCTTTGACTGAATATCTTTTTAAGAGAAAGTAATTTATAAAAAAGTGAGATGAACAAGGGGAAAATTAAACTTGAGGTGGAATGCTTTATAAATTTTATTTGCTTTTTTTTCGAGGGGGGGGGGGTCACTCAGATTCTTTCACAACCATTCCAGATCTTTGCCTAAAAAATTCTGCCACTTTCTTCTTCATGCTGTGTCCCTTTAAGACATTGGCGATCATGACTCTCCACAATTTTCTGTCTTTTGTAGCTCCCTATAACTTTTGTCTTTTTTGCAGTCTCTACTAAACCCTGCTCCACCATCCATTTGCTAAGCTTACAAGATAGGTTGTGCATTGTTTTCCTCTGGCCCTCTTACCTTCAATCTATCCTGAGTATCAAATTTTCCAAGCCCTCTTTCCTCATTAGATACAGCAGAATCTTCAGCTGACTCTTGCTGAAAATAAGTGTCCTTTTTTATAAGTGTCCTTTTTGTTGCCATTGCTTCAATAACTTTGTAGTTGCTTACATCTTTGGTCTGTTATTCTCAGTATCCTTCTGTAGAACTACATTTCTGTTGCTTCAAGTCTCTTCTTCATCAGTGAAGAGATTGTGCAGCATCTACTACTATATAGGAGAACTGATATTACATGACATTTCAGTAGTTTTTTCTTTGTCTCTAACAATGTTTTTGTTTCTTGATACTTTGCTTAACCTTTTGGAAGGTCGTTACATATAATATTAACGTGTCAAAAGGACTGTATTTTTTGTTTTTTCTCTTATTTCAGCCTTTGAAACCAACAGCAGCCATGAATAACTACACCACTCATCATTACCACTTTAAACCCCACCCAGGAGATGGGAAGGGATTTATTGACCACTTGAATGCAGAAGACAAGACTTTGTTTGTCGCTCTCATTGTAATGGGTATTGCTGTTCCATGCATATTCTTGTCAGTGTTTGCACTTCTGTGCATCCGCAAGCATAAAGAGAAAAAAGCCAGAAGGTAAGTAATTTAACCATACTTGATTGCTGGGGTTAAATCCCTTGGTAGTAATTTTTTTTTTTTTTTATGAGGGCTGGCTGTTAAATTTAAGAAAGCTTTCATTGATCTGTGTTTTTACTGTTTAATGGCATTTTTAACTCAGTTTATATATAAATACACCATACTTGAAACAATCGAGATATATGTGTGTGTTTTCATTAAAGACAACAGACAAGGTACTGCAATTAAGCTTTTTATTCAATTTTTGTGTTTGAACAAGTGTTTTCTTTTCTGGACACAGAGAGTATGTAGAAACTGTCCAAATGTCCTGTAATTCCGAGCACTTTCGGCTCTGCTTTTAGCCATTATGAAGGATGATTTTGTTTTTGCTTTTGCTTTTTAACTGGGTGTATAGGTTGTGGGTATGTTTCTAGAGTTATAAGAATGTTTTATTTTCCAAACATGGTCAGCACATTGTGGCCATGTTCATAGTTAATATTATTGAGTGTTGCCTTTTTTCTTATTAAGGCTTCCGTTATTTTTTATCTTTTTTTGTACATGTGGATGAGGTTATTATACTTGTATCTTCTACTGGTAAGTTTGTGTGTGTGTTTAAATGCATTCTAATAGATCTGTGGTCAGATAGGTGTAACTTAAGGCATCTGGATAGGCATGTAGTAGTGTGACTGATGTAATTATTTATGAATTTGGTTTGATCAGGAACCCTGTTCCTTGAAGGTCATTTGAATTCATAAATAATGTTTGTAGCAGTTGACACTATAGACATTACAGACAATTCTCCTTATTCCTACCAAATGGAAAAATTTAAGAATTCTAGAAAAACTTTTAAAAATTCATCAAATTTTCCATGCCTGTCATATTAAATGAAACCTGTATGAAAAAAAGTTTGCTATGTATGTATATATATATATATATATATATATATATATATATATATATATATATATATGTGTGTGTGTGTGTGAGAAAATCCATGATTAACCAATGAAAATCAAATAACATAAGTGTCCTAGGTAAGATGATAAACTACGTCCAACAGCAAGACCTCTGATTAGGAAGTTTTGAGGTGTGTGGAACAATCTCTTAATTGCTGGTGTTCCCAAGTCCATCCTGATCCGGGGTGGTAGCACCTGTTAGGGTCCCAACTATGGGTTAATAGTTAGCCCCCAAACTGAGGTCAAAACACTATGTAAGTGTAAAAATAGATTTTAATAGCAGAAATACTTTGTAAAAAATATTATTGTCAGCAATATATTTTGGGAAAAAAAAAAGATATTACTGGCTATACATTTTTTTTGAAGAAAAAATATTACCAGAAATGAAAATTTTGTCAGCATTAAATAACCCATTCAGGTTGATATGCCATAAAACAGACCAAACCAAATTAAACAACACAAAAGTAAAAATACAAGAATTTCTTCTTTTTCTCCATTTCATTTTCTAATGAAGCTTTAAGTGAATTAGGAATTGGGAAATCAGGTTGTCAGCTGACATGGATTTCAGAGGCACTCAATGCGGGATCATAGCCCAAAGTCTCTTGCTTATATGTACTTCGGTCCAAAATTGGCATGGAGATAAAGGTTTCTGGGGATTCGGTGATTCCCAACATTCATTAATTGCAATAAAGGTTTGCTATTTCTGCTTTCTTAATCAACTTTCCAAATTTGAAGAATTATCCCTCTTCCTTGCAAGTAGTAACAGGTATTGCTTCTACCTTAACTCCAACCTGCTTTACTTCACATCTCATACTGCTACTCTGCACAGGTAGGGCCAAATTCTGCCTCTTCCTTCTCAGTATTCTAACTCTGCCCACTTCTCAGGGCTGGCATAACTATCTTTGTACCAAATCTAATTTTTTAAGTTTGTAGGAGAAAGGGTGTGGTTTATTCTCCTCATTCATTTCAATTCTCTGTCTCCCTTTCCTGGATCCCTATGTCCAGTGAAAACACAAAACAGATCACTTTCTTATTTTAACCTTCCGAGAGATAGATAAAAATTATTTCCTAATTTGTTTTTGTCAATGAAAATATATTTGTTTACCTAAATTCTAAACAAAGAGACATGATTTTCCATCCTTGGGGTGGTTATCATCTTAGCAAAAACATAAACCAGATCACCTGCCTGTTATGACAGATCAATTTTCATAATCCTAACCCTTGCAGTGGGTTCATTGTGTTTTCATTTCTCAATTAGTATTTGCTAATGAAAATATTATTCCTGTCTGCTTCTCTTTTCACCACTGACATGTGTTTTTCTAATTTCCCAAAAAAGAGATAAGGCCGTTTCCCAATTTGCTTCACCCTCATACCAGATTTTTGATAGATAAAAAAAAAAGAAAAAAAAAGTAAACTCTTGCTGCATCAATCTAATTCTTAAGGATGAGGCAACCATGATGGCCCTTCAATTCCACATACCAGGGAAAATGTCTTCCATTCTCTTTTTCTATCTCTCTGTTTTCCAGTTTATATTTCATTTTGGGCTTAACCCTGTTTCTGCTTAGAATTAATGTTTAAACACCTCATGGCTTCTGTGTCACAGTTTTATTGCCTTGCATGGAACAATATGATTTAATATATATATATATATATATATATATATATATATATACAAACATAAAATCTCTTTGGAAGGTTAAATCAAAGAGAAGCAGATGTCAAAAATACTTTTGTCTACTTGGCATTCCTTCAACATATGGCTGAAAAGAGGCAAAATGGAGTCAAGTTTAAAAAACGATAAACAAAAGTTGTATAGGAAGAATGGAACTACAAAAAATAAAGACAAATTTATCTGACAACCCAATAGAATTCTTGAATTATCTTTAATGTGATGTGTGATCATAGCTCTCCATAACTTCCTTTCCTTTGTATTTGTAATTACTGTTTTACCCCTTATTATCTCACTCAGTCTCTGTTCTACCATCCATTTTCACAAAGCTTGTTCATTTGGTTACTCATTGCTTCTCCTTGTCCTGCATGTTTTCAGTATGTCCTGTGAGTGTCACATTCTCCAAGCCTTTCTTCCTCATGTATCTTTCTTATTCTCTTAGTATAAACATCCTTTTTGTATTCACTTTCCTTAAAGCTTCCTAGTGACTCACATATTGATATAGAAAAGTCTCACACACACACACACACACGCACAGTGAGGTTGGGTGTGGGGAGGGTGGAATAATTCCTGACCTTATGAATGTTTACTTTGTTTTGTGGTGTGTGGGAGGGCAACAAGTCGGGTTGTGTTTCTTGATAACACAAACATACAACGCAAATGATGTATTTATAGCTGCAGAGATATGAAGATACGTCTTAAAGTTTATTGGAATTTTTTTTTCCCCCTTCATAATATTGGTGAGATAAGAACACTTGACTCTTTGAATCATTAAGGAGTAAATAAACATTGGACCATTGTGATTTTTACCTTTTTCACAAGAATGGAACAAATAATAAGCCTCCTATGATTTTATTACATAGGAAGTTTCTCTTACCCACTCACATCATATGACAGTGTTCAGAAGCCATTTCTAAAAGAAATCTAATATTTGGCCTTTTGGTCAGATTTGGACAAAGTGGATCAGGCTGAGAAATTTTTTTCTTTGTTGATGTTTTTTCTTTTTCTCTGATGTTTTTTTTTCTTTTTCTCTGATGTTTTTTTCTTTTTTCTGTTGATGTTTCTTTCTTCATTGTTGGTCTTTGTTTCTTCTTTGTTGGTCTTTGTTTCTTCATTGTTGGTCTTTGTTTCTTCTTTGTTGGTCTTTGTTTCTTCTTTGTTGGTCTTTTACTTCTTCTTTGATGCTTTCCTTTTTGTTGATGTTTTTTTCTTGATTTTTTTCTTTGATGTTTTTTTTTGTCTTTGTTAGTTTTTTTGTACTCTCTTGTTTTTTTTTTTGTTTTGTTTTTTTTGTCTTGTTGCTACAGTCCTGAACACATTATTTTTTTTTTTTTTATTTGATTTTCGTTTTCTTCAAAATTATTATAATCTTTAATAATTCTGGGAGAGGGGATCAGTTTATCATTTAATAAAAAAGTAGAAAATCGATCCCCCACTTTGTCCTATAGAATCTTACAGCAATGCTAGTTTACCGGTATTTCCTCCCTCACCCACCCATTTCTTGATATGAGTCCCAGCAACAAAAACTTCTTGTCTATATAGAATGGAGTTCTCGATTGTCCATTATTACTTTGCAGGCATTGGTTCTCTTTATTTCTAAGGGGGCAATTCCTTTTCAGATGGCCTGGTTCATGACAAACCCAGCACCCATAATAAACCAGTGTCCCTTGCTAGGTGGGCTCCCCCACACAAATCAGAAACCAGGCCCTTGGTTGCATCATATACTAAAATTGCTGTCTCCACCTCAGACAGACAGTAGATGAGCTGTTTTTTCTTAGTCGCCATCAACCAGGTTTTTAACTCCCCTGTGTCCCCCCTCTGTACATTGGTAATCTAGTTCCCCCCAACAGATCTCTAAAGTTATTCGACAATTGAGGTCTGTTCACCTTGTCCCCATCCACAGACTGGTCATGTCCAACATCACACCCATCCTTGCTCCTCCCAACATATCTAATCAACCAATAAAGGAAAAGGGAGACAATCCTTAAAAATGTTGTTACAACCAAAAATATTCCTGTTAGCGAGGTTCAAGGGAAAAAAAAAATACAGGTAAACCAAAACATGTCCTACCTGTCACTTGACTTGTTTTGTGGTTGCCTTGAATGTTAAAACAGGAAAACATGGTCATGCGTAAAGTTTGTTGGTTCTCACTCCTGTAGAGAATTGTCCTTTTTTTTTTTTCTACTCTTTTCTTCACATGTTCTGAACTAGGTTGACTTGGGTACTTTGATCCAGATGCCAATTAATATAACCTCAGCAATCCAGGGTCAAATCCTTGGTCATTAACACCAAATAATATAACACCTTTTGCCGCCACCTACATCTGGTGGTGTAATTTAATTCATTATCCAATCATCAGGATCTTAGCCCAGTGGTTAAAACATCATTCTAACTCT